AAAAAAAAACTTTGAAGGTCAATATGAAATTTTTAGAAAGGTGAAGTTGATCGAGTTGTCAGAAAACTTACATGAAATGAGATCCTAGAAACAACATCGTCTCCTGCAACTATACCCATCACATGCTGTTCCAGCTCATGTAAGCCGTTTTCGGTGATGACGCAGCCCGGCGGCGCGAATGCAAAGCACCTTACGTTCGGATAATATTGTCTAGACTCAAATGTTTGAGTACATAAAGAAATGGAAAACAGTTTTCAGCACATCCACCTACTTCAATAGCAGAGTCAAAAGTGATGCTACTCCTGCACCCAATGAATGACCACAGACAACCAGTTGATAACCCGTGTTTAAAACAGCGAGATCCTCAATAACCTGATGTTTCCTAAAGTTAAAATAAAACGATACATTATCTTAGAATGTGCAGATATATGTATGACTTACCTAAGCGTATCAAAAACGTAACGCGCGCTCATCAACATACCACGGTGAACTCGAACTTCACCCTCTGCATCTAGGGTGGTATCCGTACGCAACAGTGGGTCAGCATCAACATCTATCGACAACACTTCGTCATCTGCAAATCTCACAAATCTCCAGATTTGTATAGATTAATTTCTAATCGAAACATAACTCATACCTAGGCATAGATCCGTGACGAGATCCATTAATGAGCATGATCCGCGTATGGTGATTACAATACTATGAGTTTCATGATCTGCTAGCACCACAAAAGGGACCTATGATAGGAACGCCGTATTATACAAACAACAAAAATCTGCTCAAATAGTATTTTTCGAGAAAACTAGTAATTCGTAAGTTGATTGCAACATAAGATGCTCCGGGTGATAACATGAAAATGCCAAGAGTGATTTCCTATCGGAAATTCGGATAATTCATATGAATGTGATAGAATGTATTATCAAACAACAAATGATTTGCCTAAATCAAATGCGCTTGGTAAATAGCTCAATTAGAATAGAAATCCGCTTACAGAATTCCGAAGCCAATGCGGCCATATGTTCTAAGGGCAGGTATCAATTGCTAAAATCGGGTTTGCACTTCATGCACTATAAACATGTATTTCCACAAATTTTGTGCAAAAAAGATCTAAGGAACTGAAACTACTTATTGGTTTGATAATTACGCTAAACCGTGACCAGCTTCTATTCAGTGTAAGCGATGTAATAAGAATCATTCGCAATGGCTTTAAACGTTGTTCCTCGACCGACCTGCTAACCGACAACTCCACTCAGTAGTCTCTTTTTATATCATGGAAAATCTGCGTTTTACAGCAGCGCTTCTTCTACCAAAAAGGCTAACGTATAGCAAAAGTTCCCAAACAAGCTTGAATAGGAACCTTGTCTAGGCACCGTCTTTAAAAAAATTTAATATGTATACCCAAAGAAAACCGAGGGTGTAGCTTCGGGAAATTTTCTTCAAGTATCAAAAGAACAAAATTCGGTACAACAATAGAACAGATAATTCAAAGCAAAATGTCTTGTGATATGTATATATATGACCAGAAAACTTACGATTTGAAGGCTGTTACTAGAAGTTACGAAAAACCTTTGGGAAAATGGGAAGGGAACGAGGACGCGCAAGTTCAAATTGTCAAAGTAGACCAGACACAGGGCCACTCTAATGAATCTTCACTGGTTAGCTCAACGTTTAGATGTATCGATCATTTTTTGGAGGGGAGGGAAAGGGAAATTACTGAATGAGGTGTTGTCCCCGAGTGTTACTTTGATTTCACATAACTCCGTATCAATGAGTGCTCTCAAGAACAAGATTCAAGACAATACAAAGAAAAAAACATACCTCGTAAAGCTTATTTCGAAAGGAAACGAAGAATAGGTCAATATTCCTCTGCTCATTTGATAATGTAAAAGCCGCAGTATTGCAGAAACAGCAGTTGTCTTCAATCACAAGAACCTGTAAGAAAAAACTAGCAAGAAAAAGTGAGAAAAACTCAAGGAAGAAAACGAATAGACTTATTGAATCAAAGACGCAGAGCTTAGGAATGGAACGAATTGTTTGTTATATTTATGGACGATATATTATTCATCTCCCCCTAAGCCCGAATAAGAAGATGGTAAATTGCACCACACAATGAGTAGAATGTTATCAGGAGACCCTAATTTACAACACCGTAAACCTAACCTTCTTAATCAATTTAGACAGGCTCTCATTCATCGC